GGTGTGCGGCTTCACCGTCGCTACGGGGACGGTCGGCGCGGCCGCTTTTTGCTCGCTCGCTCGCTCCATCTGAACGATTTCGTTTTGTAGATGACCCACTTGAGCGTGTAGTCTCTTCCTGTGCGCGAGCGTCGCTGAAATTTCTTTTAGGATGCAATCGTGCGCAATCGTCTGATTAATCTCCGCTTCTGGCGCTATGTGACCCATTTGGCGATATTTTTCAGTTATTTCTAATGTTCGCTGCTTTATGAGAACTGCTTGTTCGGCTTCAATGTTACTCACCTAAAAAGTGATACTGAATTAGTAACGACACAGTGAAGATGTGACATGATATTGGAGACACTGTGCCAAGGTGCGAATAGCCTTACCTGCGCTTGTAGCTTGCTCGCTTTACTCTGCAGCTCCTTGTGCCTGCCGACGATTTCCTTTGCCTTCGCCAACAGATCCACTGTGTTGTTGGCGTGTATGCCCAGTTCACTCATGCGTGCTTTCAACAAGGCAACACTGTCGCTGATCAATACGTTGATCTGTTTGTCCAATTGACTCGCGCGTGACTTCAATTTTTGATTCCTTTCCTGTTAATACAAGAACAGCGTTTTAGGAATTTTGTTAAGGTATCAAAACACCGGTTACCTCTCAGTACACGCGGCAGTAGCGGCGTGACCCGGACAGTTCCAATGGACAAACGTATTCCTGGTTATAGTATTATCGGACGTTCAGCATATAGTGAGTAGTCCTTTCATTTTGTTTCTGAATTATAATGTGTATAGATAGAATAAGACAACATTCTCATATAGAGGTTAGGATTAGAATTTATATGAAAATTAAAATTTAAAAAAGGACAGGTAAACAAAAAAAATGGACTTGCTAAACAACACATATTTTTAAATAAATCTACTTAAGGACATAACCGTAAGAGGTATTCTCATGCCGATTTTTAGCCGTAATATTAATAGGAAAATTATGTAAACAAGTTATTCTGATTAATATTAATGATTTAATTTTCATTCATTAAATGTATTATCAACATATACGTCAGATGTTATTCGGCCGTACAGTCAAATATTTCAACGGTTATAATATGTTACATTAAAAAGAATTCAGTTTCACGTTATTGGTGTTTGAATGACACTTTAACACGATAACAAGAAGCGACACACACTGACTACCCAAGTTTAGGATTTTAATAGTAAGAGGATTAAAATAACAAAAGCGTATTGTACTTTAAATTCAAATCACTGTCTACATATGTAACTTTCCAACTTGCACTACATAGTTAGAAACTAAAGCTAATAATAATCAATTTCAACATCACCATAGCTCTAAATTGTTTAATATAATTTTGATCTTCATGATTTTTATTTCAACCATATACCATAGAACTTGGGTCACGATTAATTATTGCGTTAATTACTATGTTACATGATAATGTAGCTTTTTAATGTTGAAAGAATATCTTAAATCGGTCTAGTAGTATTTGAGTAATTTCAATACCTACAAAAATCCAAAACTACAAATCTTTCCTCTTTATAATATTAGTATAGATACTACACTTCGTAAAAACGCATTTTGTACTAGTGAATCCGTACAAAGTGAAGTGCAAAATAAACAGAAAAACATTAATATAATTACCTTTTCCTTTTCGATCTGATTGCGTACATCTCTGGCGTACTCGGGCGTGTTGAGGCGCTGTATGAAGGCGAGGTACTGGTCGCGGAACATGTCCAGCAGCAGCTGCAGGCTGTAGGGCGTGTGCGGCGAACGCGGGATCTCCAGCTCCGAGTGCAGGCGCTCCGCCGGCTGCAGCTGCACGCCCAGCGCCGACAGGCGCTGCCCCACGCACCCCGGCGGCGGGGCCGTCACCTACCCCCATACAAACTATTCATACAACGCATTTATACCCGCATAAATTCTATCGAGATTTACAAAATAACCAATAAAAATTGTAACCTAAAAAGTAATGTGTTAAATCTTAGAAATAAATCAATATTATATAGTAAAGTATTCATATGTAGTAAGCACTGTGTAAATTTTTATAAACATTATATAGATGACAAAATAATATGTCTATTACATCTTTGGCAACCCTACTGTTAATCGTTACGAAATAATTTGAAATATTATAAGCATATATTCGTCATGCTGGCAACATTGAATCCTAACACTGATGCTATCCTTACATGAAATGAACGAAATATTCAGTTGCCGCCTCGGTATATACTCCTCGGTATGTGTCACCTCAAAAATCTATATATAATAAATGTTAGAAGCATTTAAACCAGACGATACCTACAAAATGCAACCTGCAAGGTGATTTTGTTAATGAATTTCATAGTTCTAATTTAAACAGGGTGTGAAGATTTTAGAATTTGCTGAATAACTTAGTGATAACTTGTAAATAACTGCTATCGAGTATTTAATTTGTAGATCATTATCTCCATCAAAATCTTACTAGCATTTTAACTAATTTACATCATTTAGAAACTATATCTAATTATGACATATATAAGCTAAGAAAAAAATAAATACATCTTTACATATATTACATCTACTACTACCAAAATATAACCATGATATATAAAATAAATAATATTTTAAATAATTACATTAATAGATGTAGCGCGGCAACATAATTTACTTATGAATCGCTGATAAGCGGAAAGCGAAAAAATGGACTGTCTAAATTTATTAAGAAATTATTTTATATTGCAAGAACCAAAGAACAGCGATAATCCATAAAGTATTAAATATAAACATGTTTGTATAGCAGCATTAAGCATATAAAAATTTAATATAAGTGCCACCCTTTTCTTTTGACTTTGAAGAATCGCTGATCAGCCTTGCCATGCAACAATACCTAATTTAGTCATAATAAATGAAATAAAAAACACTACAATAAATTGGTATTAATGAGTATTTCCTCGATGTTAGTCTGCGCCTGCGAATTTTTCGTGCTATTTTCTACATGCTTATCGCTTTACCGGACATTGCCATACAACGAAGGAAGAGATATGTCAAACCCTCGGGCGTTCCTCTGTGAAGAGCACCGACCTCCAACCTCCTGAGCACCTTTGAAGCATCAACTCACTTTATCAAGTAAAGTTAATGGTCATCAATAAATACATGTAACCCGTCAGATGCTGCACACATAAATGTCTTTCGAAAACTCCTCATTCAAATATGTAATGCTGTTGATCAATAAAAAAGTTTGTAAGCATTATATGTCTAAACCAATAAAATAATTTCTGCTGTCTTAAAATACTATAAATCACCTAACCAATAAATTTCAATGACAACAACTTTATTTATATAATCATAATATAAATATGTTTCTTTTACTAAATATTACAACAACTTAACACAGAACCTAGTGTTTGAAATAGCTTCCGTTTAGGCATTATTTAATAAGTAAAAAATTGTGCACGAATAATACGGTAGATACAAAACATAATGTGTAATGAAAACTGTTTGTATGAAACAAAGACATATCTGGTCTTCTTGTATGTATGTGTACGAGTGTAGTGTTGTGTTGTGTGAGTAGTGTAGTGTTGTATGTGTGTCCGACTGACCGTGCCGTTGTGCAGCGTGGAGGCGAGCGTGGTGGAGTGCAGCAGGTCGAGGCCGGCGATGGCGGCGGGCGCGGCGCGGCGTCGCTTGGCCCGCGCCGCGCGCCGCCTCGCCCCGCCCGCGCTCGCGCTGCGCTTGCCGCCCGTGCGACGACTGCGGTCTGCAACACCATCACAACATTCTCATAATCTGTTTAACCTCTTTATATTTCTCACACAAATATTTGCATGAGCTGTTCCCGTGCAGCTTCATGCGCATGAAATTATAAACAATTTATTTTATTATTTACATTTGTCAGATTCTTAATTGTTAATGGCAAAATTCAAATGCACATATAACAATAAAGACCTTTGACACTAGGTAACAATTACATTATCATAACCACCTTGCTTCCTTGATGTTGCCAGCTTGTAATTTTTGTCCCTTTCCCGCATGAAGGTTTTTCCAAATTATTTACACCCTTAGTGTAACTGCGTAAAATATGTACCCTTAAGCATGTCGTAAGGGCTTTAATAATAAAGATTTCTTCAAAAATATACAGTAATTGCTAACATCGTACATATCTAAGTAATGTGCATTAGATTAGTATAGTATAGATGGTGTATACTGACTGGTGTCCGCGGAGGCCCAGGGCGCGCCCCACTCGCGCGGCGCGGGCTCGGGGCCGGGCGGCGCGTCGTCCGTGCCGCTCGACTCCTCGTCGCTCTCGTCGCTGGAGCGCCGCGCCGCCCGCCGCTTCGCCACCGCCGCGCGCGCTCGCGTCCTGCCATTCTCTCCCCTGAATATACAAACACTTTAAGTAATACATGTTTTGATGCATGTAAAGTAAGTTTATGTATGAACAGGTATCGAGAAGTATTGAAGTGTGTGTTGTGTGTGTACCTGACGGCGGGGCGCGGGCGGGCGACCTTCCTGCGGCGCTCGGGCAGGGAGCCGGTGCTGTGGTTGCTGTTGCCATTGAGCAGGTCGGGCGTGGGCTGACGCGTCGGCGGCGCGCTTAAGTGCCGCTTGCCGCCCTCGTTGTCATCCGCGCCATTCTGGCAACCCTGCAAATATATACTAATTATAACTACGTCATTTAATACAGATTGATTCATTAATTATTAGCGTATTCATCATAGCGTATTATATCATTATAATAAATTTATTCATTATTAATATTCAGATCATTTAAAATATGTAAATTGTAAGATATTCAATATATAATATAAACATGTCAGTCTAAAAACATGTATATTATTCAAGACCTTAAAGCTGCTAAAAGACACGTCATAACTTATTTGGGTTGTTATTAACTGAGATGAAAGTGCAGAATAGATTTAAAGTTCAAAATATTCTTAGCATTAGGACCACAACAAGTTATAACAATGTCTTCTAACTATAAGCAATATTAAAAAATATAAATTGATTGGAAACAGACCCTTTTGCTGACCTTGAGTTTCGGATTTTTCAGTCTTTGAAAGTATCTCTCCAATTTGGTCCTATCTATTATATGTAAATAGTAAGATACTGGTTTGCCCGTCCACGAGACGGAACCCTTGAGCGGCGACATTTCGCTGACGTGCATGATGGTCCCGATATCGCTCAGATTTCTGTCGGTTATCCTGAAGTTTAGTGGACAGAAGCTCTTCGAGGAGACGATCTTAGCGCCGTCCTTCAGGTCCGCGAACCTCTCCTTTAACTGGTGGTCGACGTGCGGCCCGAACGCGAAGTTGTTCACGAACACGATAGTCGCCGCGTTTATCTTCTCTCTGTGCTCATCCAACAGAAAGTCTCCTTTTATCAACTTGTACTCCCCATACTTCTTGCCGTACCACCTCATCCACATCCTAAAATGCAAATCCATACTCTGAAATAAAGGATGAAAGTAAATGAATGCCTACAAAAAAAGAAAAAAGCTGTGAAAACTCAAAAAAAAGTACAAGTAGTACCTCCGCATATTTGCTAGGCACTTCGGCTTTTTCGACACCCACGCACACTCGGCAGGGCGTCGCTGCGGCCATTTGCAGCACGACCTGCCCGACCCCAGAGCCCAAGTCCACGAACACATCCTCCGCTGTTATATCTATTTGATCGATCATCTGACACACCAACTCGTACGATGTCTCGCCGTAAACCTGGAAATTCAATGACAGTATTTGTAGTAAATAGAATAAAATCGAAGCTTAAACTGGTGTTTATGTCAGACAAACAAACCTCTGGTGAAAAAGGCTCATACTGATTCAGTTTATCTGGGTCGGACACCGCCTGGTTGTACGTTTGTTGCAGAATGTGCTTCAACAAACCGCGCGAAGGATATTTGTTTAGACGTTGAGCTGGCAGTGATGTTCCCTTCTCCTGAAAACAGACATTTTTTTTATCATTATTACTATACTTTTAAGTAAATTCTAAACCTTTACTAAGTTTATAAATAAGTATCTTTTATTGGAGGATTAATTTAACAGGAAGTTGTATTTTAAACATCGATTTCTAAATTAGGAAATACATTTTATTATAGTTATATAATAACTATTTCTCAATGATGCAAAAATAACTGTAGTATTAAACGGAAATACGAGATGAAATCGTAGAAACTAATTTATCAAAGTTGGCCCATTAAGAGTGAACTTTTAAGATTGGCAAACGTAATACGAGCGAGCGGAGTACGTAATAATATTCTTTCGTAGCCTTGACATTGCCGGCATGGCGAAATGACCGATCGATAAACCACTCAAACATAACATTATAGAGACAATGTTGTTTACCTTGGATCCAATTACCTTATGTTTATTTTACTTATTAATTATAGCTTTGAAATCGACGGCAACGCGTTTAATGCTGTATGGCACGCTTTAACGAAATTCATATGTTCGAGAATATTTCTCTTGAAACAGTTTTATATTGTGCTTGCACTATTAAAGTAAAAGGTATATGTAATTGAAGTTTCTTTTTATTTTTAATAATAACTATTACGAAGGCCATTCTTTACAGTTATTTATTAATAATGACATACCAGTAACGTAAACATGTTATTACAATAAAACCGGTTTTGAATTCGGGAAATTGGAAAGTAAGCAAACGTAAATAAAAGTCTACATTGATTTGTCAGTTCTTAGGTTAAAAAATATAATTTGTATAGTTATATAATGTTGACCTAAGTGTATACTAAGTGTAATTCTACCCACGTTACGACGCCGGTGTGTGGGTGAAACATTCATAAACCAGACAAATCCAGTACCACAACAACTTTTTATCACTTAAAACGACATTAAACCAGGACGATGACAACAAAAACTGGGTTATCTACCCTGTCGAAAAAAAATCAGATTAGTACGATAGTTATAGATAGCGGCGACATTTGTAAAAGTTATTACTAATAGCTCAAATAAAGCGTATTCCGGTGGAAAGTGTAGTTTTACGGCATGACGAACATGTTACTACGTAACTAACTGCACGATGCGGAGAAATCAAATGCCGACCTTCGTTCGGCGAGCAAGCCGCTCTACGTAATACTATGTTCTATTCTTATATAGCGTATACACAGCTCGGCTTATCCGAAAGCCGAATGTATCTATTACTATTGAGGAATTTAACGCATTAAATTCAAGGTAGGAATTTGAAAGCCGTCATTATGGACAACGTAGTTAAATATGACATAATCACTAAGTTTAATTCCTGATTGCATACAATTATTATTAACAAGTTTATATTTATAGGGAGAGCGCGCAGACACAATCGACTCTATTTTTTGCGATTACCAAAATAAGCTACTTAATTTATACGGTTACAAAAGCATTTAATTTTTAAAAAACGTCTGTACGCCCTGGCCGTGGAGTTGCGGAAATCGTAAACTACTACTACTAAGTATAATATTAATATAGTAAATGAAAACGGCCGCTTGTCGAGTCCCGGCCAATTGTTTCATAAGAATATTAAGAGAATAGAAACAGTATTTTAAATCTCAACTCAAATGCACCACACGCTGAGCGATCAGAATAAATCTCACAAATAACGCATGTGGAGGTACAAATATGAATAAATTTTGTGTTCTTCTACAGCTAAACAGGGATCTCTAGAATACGATCAATGGCACTTGACCAGTTATGTAGACGATGTGGGAATAGGTCGTTTAAAAAAATACACAGGATATTGCTGCAATCCGTATCCCAGACGTTACTTAATATGAGTGTTCGTTTAGTGGCTCGCTGAAGTGAGATTAAACACCACATGGAAGACAGAAATAACCTGTAGTATCCTATAACGAGAAGAGACTGAAGCAGAAAATAATAGTATACTGCATGGCAATGCCTGAAGCTTGCCTTTCCTTAGCAATAGGTGTTTTTTAGTTCATAATATGTAGTAACGATATTCTTTAAATACGTACCCGGATATCAAGCAATATAACTAATAGTTAACCTAGTAAAGATTTTATGAGTTCAAAAATAAATTTTCCCGCAGCGAGTCGTAGGTATTTTCGCACGCGAAGGTCACGAATAAAGTAGGTCAATGCAATGCAATGCATGATTCTGCTATTCAATGAACAGATTGTTATTGTCAATTGATTGAGATATTTTTATCCAAATATGGTGTTGATTTATTTTTGTTGGTCTTCAATTCATGTATATTATGGCACAGTAACAATAAACATTATACTTATGTAAGTTTATAAACTGAATAAATCATACAAATGCATTAGATTTAGATCTCTATTATACCAGACATAACTAGCCTCTTTTACTTATTTACATTTAAATATAAAACTACGTATTCTTGTTTATGGCATACGATAGATTTGAAATAAATAATTTCGAATTATATGAAGAGGCGATAAAAAAACCGCTCAATATAGAGCGTAGCAATGATACAAGGGGCTTAAACAAATAAATTAAAAAAACACGAATACGCAACGAGAGCGGGTTGCGTACGTAATCGATTGCGGCAACTGGGCTCAAGTCGCGGGCCGGGGGCAGCGCTCCGCCGCGCCCTCGCCTTGTTTGTTTACGTTCCCCGCAACCCGCAGCGTGCGGCCCACAGCCTCTCCATTCATAACGTCGATCACATTTATATAATACCTAGACTAGATATCCCTGTGTACTAACAACCGACATATTACTATTTGCCCTCGCAAAACTATTGGATCTTACGCTACTCGGATCGAAAAACCTATCTCCGTGTAAAAGTAAATTGATGATAAAAGTTTAAAAACATAAAATAGGGAATAACAAGAACTCTTAATAATGATATCAATGTGATTTCACAGATTAAAATCCACTTTTTATCAAAATAGCTGTGACTGAACTATCAATATAAAAATGTTAGGTGTGTACTTTATGAAAAAAAGGTTATATAATCGCAACATAAATGTATGAATATTGTGTAGTTACTACAACAAACTATTAAATCCACGTACACCATCATTTTATTTATGATAATGGTTCGTGTCCGTACAAACTGTTGGCTGAAAATGATTTCTTCCCGCGATAAAACTACCCATTGTTCGTATAATTTATTGTATAAAACTTTGCACTGCATCAAGGTTGTGTCTGTCTAGAATACCTACTTAAATTCTTTGCAGATCAGAAATTAGCCGATGATTTGTCTGTTGTGATTTGAAAATCGCAAAACATTTATTCTTGGATGATTTGTACATAAAATTAAATATGCTCTCTAAATTTATAATCAAATTCAAATAACATAATAAATTAAGATTGCAAAATGAACTTGATAAGTGACTTTAGAGCGACGCTAGCGCAGCCAAAAAAAAGGTCATTAACACTACGTGAGACATTCGCGCCCGCTCAATATTGCGGTCATCGCCCCCGCGCACGACCCGCAACGAACCTCTATCACAATTCGCAGTAGAAATATTTTTAATGATTACATATCTAATCTAATATTATTTATCATCTGGACTCGCGACATCACATTTTATCGAATGATACGCGTTGAATTAGAAATGTTACTGGAACTAAGATTCATGAATATTCAAAGTCGTATATGCATTTTTGAACAATAAGAGAGGGCGATCAAGTTTTCGGGCACGCCTGTCTGCATGCCGAGGTCAATCAACTCGATAATGGACGCTAATGTCAACGACTGAAAGTTTCTAATACAAAAAACTTTCACAAACTATAAAGATGTTTTCTATGGCCGTATCTATGTAACAATAGTTATGAATAGCCTCGCGACGTCTCGCAGCGCCGAGCTCAATTTCACTACTTATTTTATCTAATGTTGGATTAAATTAAGAATGGTAGAATTTAAAGCTCGAATAGGAAAAAAAAATAGATTTGGACGATATTTTATACATCACGTTTCGATTAAGATGATAATCATTACCAACTTGTTTCAGGCATTTATGAATAATGTATTTCAGCAACGTAACACAACGAACAATTTTTCAGACACGAATTTAGCGTTGGAAATTTATGTGTTTAATGTTAAAATTCTTAGCAGATGTTTCGATATCTCAGTTCAGTGTGCATTGTTTTCGGGGTCTAACGATAGCCCGCCATTTTTCTACCTGCTCTCAATTGTTAAACGCTCCATTGATGCTTCGCAGTAGAAAGTTTTAAGGTTTAATTTAACAACCTACGTGTAACAATAACAGTTCTAAAAACGTAGAGACGGTACAGCGCAATCTGTATTGTTTGTTTAGTATTTAAAAGACATTTAAATGTTGGCACTTAAAATAAATCAGGTATACTTTGTTACGAAGTAAATAAATTAAGAGAGTATTACGTTTGAGCAATGTACGCAACTGAACTAAACGGGTTTTTGTATATTTTTAGTAAAACAATAAAACTTAGTCACTACTAGTAAACAAATGTTAATAAACAGCTAACCGCGTAGAAACAGGCGAACACATTAAAATTCGATCAAAACTTGTTTAAGACAAAGTATTACAGTTAGTATGAAATTACCAAATTTTGGTTTTATACATGTGTAATATTGTTGTATATTAAAAGTTATGGGTGTAATTTGGAAGCAAAACGTTCAATTGGTATGCAGCAAAGCAACGTGGTCGTGTACATGTCACATCACATTTCCTACCGCGCGCGGGCAAGGTTACTGACGCGCTCAGTATGCGCATGACATCCATCACCCTGCCTGCCGGTGACATCATCGCCGAGCCTTATTGTAATCTTTTGTTAATACACATTTACAAATCAAATGAGCAACGCTAAACTGTTGCCCTCATTTCGACTAACATTTAAATCAAGCTTTAAAACTAAAACTTGTTTAGGCCCTTCTTCATTATCATCTGCCTGCCTTTGTCCCGCTCACGTGGAGTCGGCGCACAAGGTCTTTCTTACTGTCAATTCATAACATCAAGTATAAAATCTAACTACTTAAAACGAATAACTTTGTTGTCACTTGGTACAGATCGACTTAAAGGGTACGAAAACCTAACAATGAAATGTAGTCATATTATTAAACACCAGAAAATATCTTGCGTCCCTGAACTTATAACTTAACTTCGTCCTCGTTTCAAGCCATCATTGTAGGCCTAATAGCCTAGGAAGAAACAAGGTCAAGGTTAGACCTCCATTGAGTTTTATGGCAACACAAGTTTTATTCTATTTCTAGAAGTTATTATTTTTACTGATAAAACTGTATACAGATTAATTTAAAATGTTGTATAGTTTAATATTACAATTTTGTACAACAGACAATTCTTTGCGGCGTATCTACACGGTCGTTAACCGTAATAACTGTATTTGGGCCAAACCTGAAAGTAGGCACCGTGCAAAAAGAAGCGACTGTTAGACTACTTATCATTACGTTTTATTCTTTGTTGTATGATGACCCCTGGAGGCAACGACAAAGATTTTATCATACTTCCAAAAATTGGCAATTACTAAACTATTTGCAGCAGTCCTTTATTGATATTCTAATATTATATTAGACTAGTGTATAAAATGTGATACAAATCCTGGGTTTGATTACCAAAGAGGACAACTTTATATAAAATATACACGATTCTTCAGAAAAATTACAAGAAAAGTTAGTTCCACAACTGTTAGTTCAACATTACATTGTATTTTAAGTCCGCAATTGACATTTAAAATGTTATTAATGATATGAACGAAGTAAGGACAAAGGTAAATGAACTTCCAAATCATTAAGAGAGCGTCGAATGTACCGAAGACTAAAACAATGCATTCTTCCATAAATACAACTACGCACTTGGCAAGTACAGCGGTAGCGGCTACGTAAGCGATGAGGCATCATTTAAGAACATCTTCCTACACTAAATAAAGAAGGAGCTATAGTTGTACATGTGTGGTGGAATAGTTTCGGGCCTATGATTGTGATGTACTTCGACGGCGCGGTGAGAAATGGTATGCGACGCGTATAAATAGAGTAGCCTCGCGCGGTGTCTGCTGCGGACATCGATCGCTGCGTCCTCGCCAGCGCCGCCATCTTGGCCCTCGTGTCTCCCTCTTGCAGTCGACGAGCCGCCTCCGCCCGCCCCGCGCCGCGCCCCACTCCCCACGCCGCGGCCCCGCGCTGGCCCACATTCACTCTTTCATTTCGCACATGGTACACAGTATGATCGTTGTGTGCACGAGATTGCTGCCCTGTATAAAAGTAGCGTTAAAAAAAAAGTATCTCGCTGTATTATACGTTAAACTGCACACGGTACTAGAGGAAATAGGTCAAGCGGTGAATTATGCGTGTTGTAGATGCGAAATGTTTACAGTTCATACGCAAATAATCTGCGGAGTGTACATCTAGGAAGTGTATAAATAAATAAAGGTGACATTGAAGATGTTTCCGCGACGTGTAAACTATGCCAAGTGTAATGTGCTGCAGATCTTTACAATACAGAAAATAATTATTATGATTACTGTTAGAATAGTTTCATTCTTAAAATAAACATTAGAGTTTTTCATGTCGACCTCACAAAAAGTGTCTCATTTATACTACAAAGAGATAAATATTGATACAGTTTTGAAAAACATATTTTAGTTATATTGAAAGTTTTATCGTTACATTCGGAAACAGTCATTAACATTCGACATAATCTTTACCACCTGTACACATACACGTTTGTCTGGAGAAGTTGGCAAGGTGCTGTTAAACGGCTTTAGATAATCCTTATAAGAATATAGCAATATAAAATGGATCTACTGCGCAATTATTGTTTAGAAACATGATAGTGTAGAGCAAACTGTGTTGCAGCACGTTCCGAAGGTGAACATCGGTACAGAAGTGACCTTCCGAGATAACGAGTACTAATGGCCTGCGATAACACCGCGCCGCCCTAACGCGAACATATATTAAATACAATATTACTTGAATTATTTCTTATACTTAACCATTAATCCATTATTATTACCACTTACAGCGCAGTTTAATTACATACAAGTTATTCAAGTAAAAAAGTATAAAAGCCTGCAAGTTTCATAACAATAGCCAAGATCTTTATAATTAGGTGTTTATAGCGACTAGATACAACCTTGTATTTATCGTTTTCAATAAAATTGCTTCCGTGACTAAATAGACATTGAAATTTCGCCATGCGGGTGCCATTACATAGACTGACAAACGATTGAAAATATTAGTACGCACATTTGTCTCCTTGCATTCTTAAACTATTAATCTGATTGGGATAAAATTGGCAGAGTATTTAAGGCCGTCTCGAAGGTTACTGGCCCAAAAAAATATACAAAACATTATTAGAATAATATTTTCTACTCTTTATCTTTATCACCTCGACACCTCGATATGCGTCCAAATTACTTAATGTTAACTAAACATTTTGAACGACAAAAGCGATTAAATATAGCACTAATTATAGTTCATTGTTTTGTTATGATATACATAAGGTGAAGGGACGATTAGGACGTTGACTTGGTTATATCAATGACAATAAAAATTAATAAATCCAGTGCAGTGTCGGGCTGGCATACGTCATTTAGGATGCCCTTCAAATCGCACTTGTTTAATATTTGGCAAAGAAAGCAGGAAGTGTGATAGTAGAACGCTCGCTTCAAGGACACTTAAAACACTTTTGTAGAGTTATTCGAAATTATAGGTATGCTGTGAATAACGTGGTAATAAAACTATTGGGATCAGCATAATATCGGTTTATCAATTGGATAGTTTAATTCCCAAACTGAGTAAGCATTAATGTATATGGAACCTAATATTGACATTAACCCTGCATCGACATTCCAATAAAGTACTGTTGATCACCACACCATAAAAATTACAAGAAAGAAAAAAGTATTAGGTACAATACTTACCAATGCGACGACGGAATCGATGGCTCGGTTGAATCTGTCGCAGAGAGCACGCATGCTCTCGTAAGAGTGCGTGTCATAGTCGCACAAGATGTGCTTCTCCAGCGCAGCCTTCAGCTCCGGCAAGTCGTCGCACACCCATCTGTTCAAACATTTAACATATTTAACTAAATAATAATAATAGATACGTAGATAGAACTGGGAATACATCTTAAATTCCATGTTTCCTAAGTAAATAAATATTATTACGATTTATTTTACCACTTGCATAGCAACATAGGATAGACAATGAAGTTTGTTTTAAACAAATCATGACATCGTGTATTTTTTTTATATCATAAGGTGGCAGACGATCAAGCGGCCACCTGAATCCGCCAAAGTAGCGAAGCGAACGCTGCCTATAGACATTCGCAATAGCGGATGCGTAGAATACCCTAGATCGACGGAGGAGGAGACGCACATAAAGAGGATGTTTCTCCTTTTTATGCGTTTCCTGCACCGTAAAATTGAAGTTCCCTTCCCATCCTTTTAGTATAGGGAACAGGGTGGGAAGGAAAAGGGACTGACGTTCGGCCTCCGGTACCACAGTCATCAAAGGAAACGCGGAATTGCTTCCACTTCGCACCTAGCTTGTTTGTGGTCGTGGTATTTCATAGAGCGAGCCGACCCATTCGTGCGAAGATGTTAAAGCGGGCTCTACCACTGTTAAGCTGTTAAGTTTAATGGATTGTGAGAGACAATTATATACGTAGGAGCCATCGTTTTTTGCTATAACTAATTGTATTTTATGTGTAATATTTTTTAACCATTAGAGTTATATGTTCTTGTTGGGTTAGCTGCATTAGTTGCCGTTTTTATGGAATAGTAGCAGGTGTTCGGGGCGACGGCAATAGATTAAAATCAGCTGTAAAATAACGGAACTTGACTGCGCTCTGCAGTTAAAGGTGTTCACCTTAAACTTTCCAAGATGAATGGCTCGCGTTTATTAATAAAAATGTCTTTAGAAACAAAGAATGATAACATAAAGCCGAATTTTAGTTGTTAAAATCTGTATTATAGACTACCAGTAAGACTGCCGGTGATCGAACAGCTTAACTTTAACATAATCGATGTACAGGAAAGTGATAAAGGATTAATATATAAATTCGAGTTGAGCATTCTTTATCGAGTTTCAAGGTCACGAAATAAGAGTGAACGCGTCCGGTCGAGGAGAGGTCGCAATGTCGGGCGGAGCACACAGCCCCCGCGATCCCGCCGCCCGGCGCCCGCCCGGGACTGCGGCTTCGGGCTGCGGGTCAACTTGCCAAACAACTTCTCATTTCCGACGTGCGAGACCAACTCATCCTTTTTTCCGTTCCATAACATAAGCCAAAAATCGAACGTTTTGTTTGATAGAATAATTTATGACTTATTTAGATTGACTCATAAATAATTTACGTAGTAACAATTTTTTAAGTATCAGTCAACATTACAAATTGAAATTGTATACTTTCTAATGCATATTTTAATAAATTACAATTTTTAAATCAATACTTTTGTTAAATGCGTCACCGGGTTTAATTGCTGCGGCGATACAAGAATGATAATTAACAGACGAAATATCATTCGGTCGGCCATTGCCCCCGGCACACACGCGCGTCCTTCGCTCTACCTGCAGCCTGCACTGATGCAACTAGTTGACAGTAACTAGAGCACAATGTCAATTAGAAAACACAAGTATAACCTACCGCATTGTTTAACAACAGGTTTATTGCAATTTTATATGTTATTTATTTATTTTTGTACATATTAAAATAACACCAAAAACTACTGGGCTGACATTAAAAATTCATTATCATTCATTATCAAATGATATTATTCATTATTTTTAAATTTAACGTGTACGAAGTCGCGACCAACAGCTAGTATCAAATAAGATTTTATTTTAAAAAATGTGTACCTAACACTGAAAATAAATTATTTAATAATAGACAATACATGTACAGAGTGTAGTTTGCATCTATATTATAACAACGCAAAGTAGTATTTTTATACAACTATAGAATAAAAGAAGTCTTTCTTGTTTTGAATATCAAAATAGGACATGTAGATTTTTCACCAACACGCTTACGGTACAAATGTTGCAATAATGCTGTTTGTTCAGTTAACAAGTAAGGCATTAGGTCATGTTGAATAATGATTCATAGCAACTAGTCAAGTAGCCTACTTTTTGCAATAAATTAAGAACAATTGCAATTATGAAATTAAATACCTTCCTATCTACTAACAATTTTTCTTTAAAGTTTCTAAACTGTATTAAACTAATTCTTTAACAACATGGAAATTACACATCTTAATAGTGAATTTTTTAAGCATTACAGACATACATGCAATAAGGTGATTTCCAAATATCTATGGCAAAGTATTTATTTTTGGGGGATAGATTTTTAGGAGATATTTATTGAGTTATTGTAAATACATTTTTTTAAATCAAATAATGTAATTAATTAACACCTTACCTTATAGTTTCTACTATTTCTAGTGCGCCATCGTGCTTGTCCTGAAACAAGGAAATGCCACTTTAGACATACATACAAGGTGGTGGCCTATTTATATACATTTTCAATCACTTAAAATGTGTTTTACCTCTCTAAAATTGAAATAAACTATAGTAACTTATATTGACTTTGATTTTTAATAACAAAAATTATAATAATGAGGAATAATAAATTACATTGTTCCTTAACTTAGTTTTTAGATTCTTGCATATTGTATCTACTACTATTACTAAAACTGAATTGTTAGGAAAAAGTATTAAAAAAAAACAAAGAAAAGTAAGAGTATTTTTAACTAGCTAAACTAACTTTGTTTAAACAATGGTTTATAATAATTATATGAATTATTTCAGAGAGACCAATATTTACAAACTGAAAAATTAATCCCATTGATGTTCTATATATTTAAACTACTTTCAGGAGAACATGTGTGACATTTTTATATGTACTATTCTGTTTGGAAATCACTATTCCATAACTGCAGATTTCAAGATCATAGTTCAATTCCTCACTAGAGTAAAAGACAGGTGCATTATTAGTTGACAAGAATGTTTTTTTTCCAGAATCTTGATAATATTGGTTTTATAAATTAGCAAATACAAACATATTACCTTCAGTTCGGGACACCAATTCACTGGTTAGCTTTAATTCTAATAGATTCAATATTAGTTTTCACATGATAATATGAAAAGATGCCATAGGGACAAACTATTATAGACTACCCTCTAGATATAAAAAAATGACAGATAATTGAATACTTTTATACAATATATTGGTTATGTTAATATTAACCTGTTGCATCTTCAATGTTTTTATGTAGCAGATAAATATTGCAAAACCTTAATCTGATAAATCAATTGATATTTACTATAATAGATATCCAAAACAGTGTTAAATATTTTTATTTGCTCTTTAATAATTTAAATGTCTATTTTGATGAGAATATATGATTTGTGCAACAGGTTAGTACTCAGCAAAAATATTTTCACACCAACTTAATGAAAAATTAGGTCAAGGGTATCATTTGTATTGAATACATAAACTATGTTTGTAGAACTATAGTATATTTAAATGTCATGAAATCTAAGAGTGTTATAAACGTTTTATATTGTTAACTATATTGTATACTAAGCAATAAACAAATCAAACAATTGCTCACTTTCAATTAGTATATTTTTTAATGATTATGATTAAAATAAATCACCTATTAAATGTAAATTAAACAAAATGTTTGCAACAAAAAATGGATACAAAGCATAGTATACTACTTATCTTCAGTAATATTCACATAAATTTGTTTACCCCTACCATAGTTGGTAGTTAAATATGTAGTAAATAGTAAACTATAAACACTTCCTGATACTAATAATAAGGATATGATAGAAATAGATCTTTGTCAGCAAAACCCAATAAAAATAAAAATATAACCCATTAAGTAACACAGTTCTGACACCTGATACCACATTTACACATACATAGTATGGAAGTGTAAAATGTAAATAAATGACGATTGAAGACTACGCAACAGTGTGTACATATCTAAAAAAAAGCCGACACCTTGACAAAACACGAGGTCAATACACTCTGCACTACCCATGTGATGTGAGCAATACCATATAAACTTTCTGAAATCTCCTACCCACAGAATATATGTACGATAATACTGTAAGGCCTATTAGTATTATTTATACCTTCTAATTATGTAAGATACTAAAAACAAAACGTTAATCACGTTCAAAGATTCATAATTCTAACTTTACTGTGTATGTTTCGCAGTAAGAAGTTGTAACAACAATAGATTTTACGAGTTCCTCTAATGTTTTGACTTTGTTTTTATATCACAACAACTTGTTTTTGAAACCCTATAATTCAAAATATAAGTTTCTTACCGAGCCATGACCCGATGTGAGGGGCCATGTATAAACAACGGGTTCCGCGCCTACAGGAGAGTGCAAGCGTAAATCCAAAGCCATTATAGGATAACCACTGCATTAATGCACGCTATTTTCACTTAAAAACTAATATTATCACTAAAAACACTTGATATTAACATAATTTCACTGCACTTTCACACACACACACTCCGAACAACTAGGCTAGACGCCATGTTGAAAATATATTACCAATCAAATCATGGCCACTTTTCAGTGTTGACATGAGTTTTCGTTTTTTGGTAGTTTAGTAGGTGTGTTATGTTTGTATTTTAAGACAAGGGAGAGTAAATAAAAATCAAATGACTGGTTAGTATTTTTAATTTAATCCATATAAACAATTTTAAATGAAAACTGAATGAACATAACTTAAAAAGTTAATTTTCTGCGGGATTTCTCTATATTATATTTGTGTCGTAAAACTACTTGATGTATTTGACAATTGTTTTTTAATAAGACGATATAACTTTGTAGCATCGTATCCTCTATTTGGGAAGTAAATTTTACTAATTCAGTACTTCGATAAAATATCCCCTGATGTACACCATCATCAAAGTTCTGCATGTGAGTAATTTCTTTACATAAAGATAAATAGTTATAAGCGGGCAACAATTTTTAATAATACTTATTTAGGAACAATGTTTTGTGGCTATTGGCTAATACCAAAATAAATCAAAGTTAACGCACTGCTTAAGTTATATCGTCTCTATCACGATATGATAAATGTTGTCCCAATGAATTAATTGTCAAATCGATCAAGTTATTTCAACTTTTCAACAAGCACAATTAATCCAAGAAAACAAAACATGTCCCAATAAACATAGTCATCGGATTTGCTCTATAAATTGGTGGAGTTAATCCGTCAAAATAATTGTAAATAATGTCAGATTCAGAAGAGGAATCTGTGAATGTTCGAAATTATGAAGAAATCGCCAAAGAGATTGAGCGACGTAAAAGAAATCCTGAGACATCTGGGATGTTTGTTTCTGGATGGGACGATGCTGATCAAGACGTAGACATTGTGAAAAATCCAAAAGGTGTGTAGTCAACCCCTAGTTGCCATCAGCCCAATGGGAAAAAATCCCATTAAACCCATAAATATTATTTATCATCCTTCTGATCGGTCCTACACAGTCTTCATATACTCACAAACTCACACTCTTTACTTTTTAAATAAATAACATTACATATCCCAGTTTTTATATTATTTTTAGATGATCCAGTTGATTATGTCTTATGGGCAGCTGAAAATGGAGAATTAGATGTTTTAAAGGAAATCATAAAAACTAATCCCAGTCTAGTGCATGTAAGCGATTCAGATGGTTATACCCCACTTCACCGTGCCGCATATGGAAATCATTTAGCTTGTATTTCATACTTGCTGAGTACAAGTGCAAAAGTAATTGCAAGAACTGAGGTAGGATGGACCCCATTACATTCCGCATGCAATTGGAATAATTATGTAGCTGCTGCAAGGCTATTAGCAGCAGGAGCTGATCCAGCTGCTTTATCTGATGGAGGTAATTGAAAAATGGTCTAATATCTAATGTTATTCTGTAAAAATAATAATTGTATATTATTTATTGTTGCAGAACAAACACCATTGCATTTAGCATCAGCTCTAAGCCATAGTAAATCAACTTTAATTTTATTATTATTAAGAGAAGACATTGTAAATATTGCTCAGAGAAAAAATAAATCAAATGAAACACCCGAACAACTTGCTCGTGGTCATGGAATTTATGGTCCTTTATTTGAGATGGCACTGCCAGCGGTGAATCATATAAAATCATTGTCATTTACTTGCAATCCATTTTTTAGATGAATAAAAGATTCATGTAATATCTTGCCTGGATAAATTTATTTACCGTCAATGTTTACATGAGATTCAAGTAAGGAATCTTCTTCCAAGTATTGTAAGTATACATTAGCATATTCAGGTTGTCTTCATTCAAGACTCAAGAGTTACTAACAAAGATTTTTAATTCAATCTATTATTAGTGTAATCTCAAATGCTAACAAAAAAATATTTTATGTAATTTTTATTTTATGTTTTATTGGTAAAAGTAGATTGAAAGTAGTAAAGAAAAATCGAATATCTTTTCCATTTATTTATTTACAAATTAACATTATAAATATACATTTGTTCCTGCCATCTGACCAGTAGACCTTTTCATAACATTTTGTAATATCACATATAGACCATGTTACTTAGTATAATACAAACATAGGTACCAATTCAGATTTTATTAAAGGTAAGATAAAAAAAATCTTTCATTCTGATCAAAAGATTTTTTATGAGCAAATCATCATTTGCAAAAGAAATAGTTTTTTACAAAATTTTTGACAGAATATTACAATCATTTGTTAAAAATTGATGGAAAACATTACTATCAAATTCCAAAGCTAATATTTACAGTTATATGATTGTTAAAGTCTCAGCTTTGTGGATTGGTTTACATGAGTGATGTCTGAGTGATGATGATTTTTCGTTTTTACAGTATTTTTCAATTATCTTGGACACCATATGATTTGCTATGCAAAACATAACTGTAAAGTGATGGGGCAATATCAAGATATTTGAAAAATTAAATAATATTTACCTGTATGTTTTTGAACCTAAATTCTCAAGAGCAATCATAGCACCAGGAACAAGATATGACTCTGCATGTAAATTTTTGATACTTATTATAAGATTTCTTCTATCAATTTTTTGAAGTTCCGTTAATTTTTGCCGAGTTTGTGGTGTCATGTATGGTAAAACTAAGCAACCGAGACCTAAGCATTTACAACGCACGCAATGTTTCCATATCTCTAACAAATCTTCATCTTTTATCAAAGGACAAACGGGTAGTAAATTTAAAACCTTTAGACATTTCTTCTTTTGTCGTTCTGTAATGGGGTAATCTGCCCTCTGGAAAGGCGTAAACATAACTGCACGCCATGCCGTGTATGTAACTTCATCAAGAGAATTGCAGGATTTTAATAGTAAAGGTGTTAATTCGTCGTGTAACGATGCTCGAACTAGTAAAGGAATTAGCTCATGTATAAGATGTACATCTCCGTATCTGCAAGCCAGTGCAGCGGCGATTTTTAAGCCTTCAATATTTCCGTTAGCAACTTGGAGCAATTGTTGAAGGGCTTGAACCTTATCTTGTACAAATGTTGCAACTACCCAGGGCATGTCAATTTTTTCAAGATTTACAACATACAATAATTCCAAAAGTAAACACCAAAGAGAATCACGTTCCCGGTTAGTGACTTTAACTGCAGTGTCAGGATCTACAACACTCAGCAAACATTGAAAAGCTCTAAGTTTTTTGAATTTATTAAATTCACATTCGTCGTCTAAAGCAATTCTAGACAAATAAATAGCTGCCATTTTTGAACACGTTGCTTTCAGTATATACTTAGCAGTTATAAGTTCTTTTGTGTTTAGTCCAGGCAAAGTATCGGTTTCTTTCTCGTTTTTTTCCAGTAGATTTTCTAATATTTGTATTCGTATAGAACTTATGTTTATATTATTTTTGTCTGCTATTTCATTGGCGGCACGATTAACGTCATAGCGTGCGATCTTATTAACGAAATCAGGATGAAGGTACATTGCATGAATAAGTTGTGCTGGTTCAGTTGATAATCGAATAAATTCTTCACAAGCCCAATCTATGTTATGCAATGCATGCCGTGTCGATAAAGTAGCGTATAACCGTTCCATTTGCCGAAGGGCGCGATTTCCAGGCTGAAGAGTTGCCCAACGCTGAGAAAACTGAAAACATAAATGTGCTGCCGCCACTTGATCAGCCCCACGCGCGCAGCCTTGTAGAACATAGAACAGACATGCCCCGGCCCATTCCATATTGGCAATGTGGCGGACACACTTATGAGCTGTACGAAGCAACGGCTCTTCTCTTGACGTTAAGCGCCACGGTTCATTCTCCTTTGAACTTGGAGTCGCTTCTTCACTTTTTGTTCTCGAAGTCATAGTTTGTTTCACCGCATTGCTACAAATCATATCCCTTGCCGTTTGCAAATCTTTATTAAGCGATAATATTGAAACAATTTGAAGCCATCGTTCATACGTTTCTAAAGTTATTTCAGATTTCAGGTGAGTCCACATATCCTCTCGCATAAAAAGATGAAAAGGTAGTCGGTAATAGCCTATTTCTGGAAACATACCTTTTACAGAAAACATTTCATATTCATATTGCTTTGGAGTTCCCTTTCTCTTATAATATTTTAAATAATGTAATAAGAAATATTCCTTATTATTCCGGAGGTCTGCACTCGAACCAAATAACAAGAGATATATACAAAAGTATACCTCATAATAATAGGGATTAATCGATATTACTGAACCATGCAATATAATTTCACCACTTTTCCAAAAATCGTTTAATATATCCTGAATGAAATTCCTTTTTTCTATGCTATCCCAAATTATGTGGCATTTTAATATCAATTCTCTCTCATCACTTTCCAATTTTAGTTTACGACAACCGAGATCATCCTCGATCAACTTATACTTTAAATTCCAATTAATTAAGACAGATACAAGCAACAAAGACAAACCATCATCTAAACTTACATTGAAAGTACGACATAAATCATGAAGCCGTTCTAGCGTAGTATTAGGATACTGTCTCAATACATGGAAGAGAACAACTTTAACATCCCAAGTTTCTTCAGTCCCATCTGGCAAAGCTATTTCTGACAATTCTATATTGAATTTTGATTTTAACATATATTGAGGAGGGTAAGCTATTACGTTTCCAGGCAAAATTGTACTCAATCCAAATATACTTCGTGTCACCGAAACCGATAAAAAATGCATAATGGAAGGCGCCAACGTTTCGCTTTGTCCACGTAGAATTTCTAATACCCACATATTATCCTTCTCATCTTCAAATCGAGTTAAAATGATTAATAAAATGGTCAGTAATGCGTTATCAACGTCTTGCAACGATGTTATTTTAGTTAACAGTTTTCTCGCTAATCCATCTCTTACTTTCAACAATTCATCACATGAACTTCTTTCCATTTCAAATACTGTTACCATAAGATATGAAATTATCCTGAATGGAATTAAATCGTTTTTATTACTTATGTTTAGAATTTCCTTTTCCAAATTGAATTCATCTGTTGCTATTTTACTATAAAAATCAATCAAATCATTTAATGCATTGACTGAAGAAATTGGTAAAAATATATAATGGAATTTCCATGCCACTGATAAGTTCTTCAATACCACATTCATATTAATTAATGAATTTAAAATAGACATCCTTGTAATTAAAACATGTATATCTTCTTCATCACAATTCAACACCAATTGTGTTAAAACATTATTGCATTCTATTAAGAGCCTAGAATTATTTCCATCTTTGAAAGATTGCAATATTTGGGTCATTTTTTGACTACATGGGTCAGATGTTATCATACATTCAATGACTTTGCAGACTTCTTGACTTGTAGATGTTCGCCGCAAAAGTGCTATTAAAGCTGAATTTCTACATAAATCCTTATTTACCAACTTTGTTAAACATCTACCACGCCCTGAACTTGCTGATGCGCCATCATTTTGAATCCATTTATCCACTTCTCTTTTACAACAACTTTCTTTATACATGCCATTAATACTCAATTTTATGTCATATGAGTTTTTCAAATGATACATGTTTTCCAAAGTTTTCATTTGAATCTCATTAACTGATTTTGTACCTTTCAAAAAATCAAGATAATTTCTTTCAAGAGTAGCATTAAAATTTGTCCCAATGTTTATAAGTTCGTATTTGTTGATTATTGTTTTGAGTAACATTTTTTTGTCTTTACTTGGCAATTGTTCAAAAAAATGTAATGCCGATTGAGTTTCACAATTTTGTAGACATCTATCAATATATAATATACTACTGGTATTTGCATACTGTGGTAATACTGTAGTTATTACTTTTAAATCACATAGATCAATAGATGCAGCATCAATTATTTTATGCATAACTAAATTATAATCGGTGCATGATAAAGGAAAATTATATTTCTTCAAAACTACCTTCACTTTTGCATAGTTTAATTCAATGTGTATATCTTGCGCTAAAATTCTATCTTCATCTGTGACTGTGAAGTCAGTGTTGGCCGACGCAGCCGCAGTAACAGCAAGTTCTAATATTTTACTGTTCCATGGTACATCTAACACTTTCAAAACTTGTAAAAGACATTTAAGTTTGTTACTGTTTGAACGAAAAGCATTGAGTAACAGTTGCAAACGGACACCGTCCACACTACCTCCACTGACTGCTGCTTCACTTTCAATAAATGAATATAATAAATCATCTAAATCAAACAAATGTCTAGTAGCATAACTGGGTAAATTATTTTGAAGAAACTCCTCTAAATCTTCGGTGTAACAACGACGTAACACTATTACAGCCACTTCTGTGGGATTCTGAGAGCTCAACTCACTTAGCAGCATATTTATTTTGTACTTCTCTTTGAGTTCCATTATATAATTAATTCGATCTTTCAATATATCTAAATCATCCAATGACATTGGCCTTATTGATATTGTCTTTATTGATGTTTCTAGAACATTAATAATCTCTTGTATAAGTTTTAATCCTATTTTAGGCCAATACGGTGATTTTTCTAAATGAAAAATTCTTTCTGTGGTCCATTTAACAAATAAATCAACATAAAAAGGATTTTCTTCTAAAATAGATGGCACAAAATTATTTAACCAAATAATTAAAGCTCCAATTTTGATGTTAAATGGAATAGCATTGAGAAAATTGACTATGTCATTATGTTGAATTGTGAGCCTCATTTCAGAATACTTTAACCAACAGATTGAAGCCAGATCCAGATCTGATTTAGATATAAATAAAATACATAACTGTATAAAGTTGAGTTCAAACAGATCAACATCTTCATAAAAGTTATTACCTCTAAATAATATATACTCTAGTAAATCTATTTTATTTGTTAAATCTGTAATTAAGTTTACCAAAACATTATCATTTATGCTTAAAATTTTTGCTTGAAGAGGATAAACAATAACTTTATATGAAATGTTTTGTTTACAAAGTTTTATGGCAGTATTGATGAGAAAATTAAAATCAGTTATGTTGTTAAATAATGACTGCAGCTGTGGTAATACCTGGGCAGGTTTTACATTAGACATTACTGAACTGACAATAGTGTTCAACTGCACTTTAAGATTATCTTGAGTAGTTTTACTTGTTAGTTTATTATTTGAAACTTCAGATTCATTATTTTCACTTTGACAGATTGAAGCACTTTTAATTTGCACCTGGAAGAAAATCAGGATATTTTGTTATATTTGTTATTCTCTGCAAATATGAAAATTTTGTTATACTGATATTTTGAATAGTAAAATAAAAAGTATCATGATGTTAATCTTTTTTTTTCATATATTACATTAAATATAATACAGTCCATTGCAGAAACTGGTTAGTTCCCACCACAATTGGTAAAGGATAATAGTTTTTGCTATATAAGAGTGTGAATTTAAGTTTAACTCACCTTTTCTTCATCCCATAATATGTAATAGAATGTTTGTTTCACAGCTTTAAGTGGGTAATATTTAGAGACTTCCTTAGAAAATTGATATGTGGTACTGAAATCTCTGAGATCAATCATCCACATGTTAGATTTATTAGCCATTATTAGACAATGGGTCCATGGTACAATATATTCTAACAGTGCGTCAGTGAATAATTCATCTATCATGCCTGTTGTACTGCATTGTAAAATCACTTTACCAGATTCAATGTAAGCATTCAATTCATTCAATAAACAAATACTTTGCTGAGATTTTAATGCTGTACGAGAAATATGTAACTTTTCAAGAGCAACGACAATGTCATTTTCATTTTGCTTCATGTTATTATCCAACTCTGTAGTTGAAAATGGCAAAGCAAGGCACTCGCCACTTTCACTCATTAAACCCAGATTATTATTAAATTTAAGAAACTGGCAGATTTTATAGTTTGCATAATTGTTACATCTTATATTAATTAAGGTACCTGTCTTGATGTTTATTACTACAAGTACATAAGACTTAAGAATAAGCCAAAGAAGATGTTCCAGCAAAATGTTATCAGTGATACCTTCTTCCAAATCAAAAACGAATGGTTTATTTATATCATTGTTAAAATCAGACTCAATATCTAAAATAGTCACTTTTCTTCTTTCTTCTATGATGACCAATTTAGGATATAAAAAATGAGCTTCAATACAGTTCACGGGATTAGCAAAAGTTATTGTTCCTATATGAGATTGAACCACAGTGGTCGATGACATTGTCATCGTTTTTCTTTAATATTGTAACTTAAACAGATATTTGAATTAAGAGAAACTTGAGTTTTCTATTTTAAAAACCGTTGGGCCGTTTATTTACAAATTTATAAATGTCAAATTAAATTTCAAGTTGAGTCATAAAGTAGAATTATTTTTTTATGGCTGTGGGTTATGGCACTATTGAGCCGGACGGTTTGTATAATAATTTTGTCTAGGTAAATGTTACCAAAGTTTATTTCAGTCCAAAGGGGTAATATTTTTAGATTGATAATATATCAGTTCCAGCAAGCTTAAGCGAAATTATCTTAATTACTCTCACTACGTCACTAGCGCCTTTCCATTTTGTATGTCCACTTAATTTTTACATATTTTCTTGCAGTATGTAACAACCGGTAGCGTTAGCTCTCTCAACAACTTCATCTTTGTTCAACTATATACGAATTCCTTGGGGTAGCTTTGTGGAGAAGAAACCAAGCGTACAAAATTGGTTGTTGGTGTTTATCAGGGACTGTGAATCATGTTGGATCTTGACATATTGGAGTATAACATTATTATAATCGATGAAGTAAAATAAAACAAACATTAATAAAATATTTTTTTTCTATTAATTTTTATGTTATTCGTTATGTTTTCGCTTCCTTGATTTTTTCTTCATTCCTCTTTTTAACTCAATAGACTTTTTCACTTTGTTATTTATTTCGGTATGAATGATTTGTTTTGTTCCATGAATTGCAGATTCATAACTTTGCAACAAATGTCTATATGATTCTTCTGATATTTCCAATTGTTTTATTTCACTTTTCCCACTAGACTGTATTTGTTCCTGAAATATAATATTAAAATCAATATTTGATCCTATATAAGAGTAAGTTTAATGTTAATTAGTGATGATTGGCCAAGTAAGATTCACGAAATATTTAATCATTAAAGTAAAGCTTACCTTAAACACATTTAATTGATTATGAGTTAAAATTGTCACTGCTTGGCCTATTCTACCTGCTCTTCCTGTTCTACCAACTCTATGAACATACGTTTTTATATTCCTTGGTGGGTCATATGATATAACATAGTTACAATCGGGAATATCAATTCCTCTTGCTAAAGCATCAGTGCTTATAATTCTGAAAAAAAAAAGAAAATCAGAAATCCAACTTTTACTTATCAAATAACAAATATACAAAATAATTTACATACACATTAACTTCGGATTGTTTAAATTTATCAAGCACTTTTTCTCTTGATACTCTGTCTAATGCTGATGATAACTCGGATACTTTAAGACATTGTTCTTTTCCCCATTCATTGAGAAGAACAGCTAATCTGTGTACTGATTGAGCTGAATTAGTAAAACAAAGCACCTTATCCCATTTCTTTTCTACTAGTAGATGGAATAAAATAAGTGGTTTTTCTTCAGCATTACATACCACATAATTTTCTATTAATTCATCTGGTGTTGTATACTTTTTTATCAAACTACCTCCATCAAAATCTGAAATCGGTGCAACAGAGAAAAGTTTCGGCTGGAATAATCCCCATTGCTCTAATAGTTCGGGATCAGGTGTTAAAGTTGCAGAAAAAAGTAACTTGTGAGGTAATGATTTTTGATCACTTATACTATTCCAATTTAAATGTGGAACTTTATTTGTTTTTAATTCATGTTCATGTCTTATATGTCTATCCATGTGATACAGCCAGTCATTCTGTATGTTGTCCATGATCCTATCAGCCTCATCTATAACTAGGAATTTCAAATGTTTCAAAGAGAATCCTTCAGTGTTTTGCAAATGCTCTACTAATCTCCCTGCTGTGCACACAATGATGTCAACTTCACTGACCCACCCAGATGACTCTGCTGTAATATGATTATCAGTATTAATTTTAAAAAGACACATACAAAAGCATAGTGCATATTTCAAGGTTAGTACATTAAGAAATAAATATCAAATTTAATTTTTTTTTATAATAAAAGGGGGCAAACGAGCGGCGTGAACACCAAGGTGGACAACGACGCCCATGGACATCCGCAACACCAGAGGAACTACAGGTGCGTTGCCGGCCTTTGAGGAAATGATAGGCTCGCTTCTTGAAGGACCCAAATCTTTTAATGGTATACTTTAATTGGACTATTTTTATATGAGGAGGTAAATGAGTATAAGATTGCCTTAAACTGTTCAATCTGTTGCCCATGGACATCTACAAGCCTGGGGAACTGCAGATACATTGCCGGCCATTAAAAGACCTTTTTTTTAAGAGGCCATAAAGAAGTAAATACATGGAATTACCAATAAGGACTGAGTATTCCACAGTAAGTCTTAAAAAATGATAAACTTACTATATTTCATAAGTTGTTGTTGCTCCTGCTGCAAAGGTGTTGAACCAGTCAACAAAGCTGTCCGTAAACCTGTGTTAGTGCAGTACTTTTTACATACTTTAAAAACTTGTACTGCTAACTCTTGTACTGGTAAAACAATAAGTGCTCTTATGTAATGTCCAAGTTGATTCATTAATACCTGAAAATGACAAGTAATAAGTAATTTTTAATTTACAATTTAATGTATTAATCAAATGTAATTAATATTTTTTTACCTGAATAATTGGTAAAACAAATGTTAAGGTTTTTCCACTACCAGTAGGTGCAGAAACACAAATATCATGAGGCCATAAAGGATATGGTAGTTTATGTTCATTCAATATAAATGGTATAACTTGTTCTTGAACAGGAAATAGGTGAGTTACACCTTCACTGAGAAGTGTTGTCTTCAATATGCTGGTTAACCAAGTTTGATCTTCTACCTTACAATTTAAATTCTGAAGGCTTTTTGAAACACTGTAGGGATGAGAAAGCCAATGTGGTAATACTCGTTGTACCTGTAAAAAAAACAAAATCAGTATGCAACAAAAAGTCTACATACTATTAATTTCATCCCTATGTTATATGTTAACAAGCTGTCATATACAAACTTCGTTTACACGGATTTTTTTTAAAGTTATCTATCACATTCCTGTGTGCATCTAACTTCTACCAGTTATCTTTCAGTCAAAGTCCCGTCGAAATCGCCCACCCGTTTCAGATATTACCCGGAACAAACATGGCTTGCGACAGACAGACACAAATTTTTAAATGCAATATTCTTTATCAGCTATACAAATACATCATCTTTGGTTTTATATTACAAACAGACACTTAAATTTTACAATATGTATATGGATAATATCATCATCATCACCACCGGCTCACTATACATCCTCTCTGAGAGGCTTGTAGTATACCCTAAGTTAGGGAGACTAGGCCTTAGTCAACCATGCTGACGCAGTGCAGGTTGGTTGGCTTCAAACATATCTGCAATTTCTTCACCAATATGTGCAGGTTGCATCACAAAGTTTTCCTTCACCGTAAGAATGTTGGGTAAATTATGTACATATGAAATTTAAATAAGCGAATATCACATTGGTACATGATGTGATCCCAGGACCTGTTTATTACAAGTCAAATGCTCAAACCTCTGAGCTACTGATTTTGTTAATATAATAACGCAAGGGAATTACCTGAGACTTTTTCTCAAAGTCATTTAAACCAAGAACTTTGAATTCACTGCCTTTATCATTTGCACCTTTCTTCCTTTTTTCTGTCTTATTTTCATCAGGTAAATTTTTATTACCATCTTCAAGATCAACAGAAACAATTTTTTCTACATGTACTTGGTTTTTAGAGTCTAAAACTTTTTCTTCATCCTGCTTTAGAGTTATGACATTTAACACCTTTTGTTTTTCATGTGTTTTCTTTCTCTCTTCAATTTTTTGCTTTAACCTCTGAAGATGTTTTGTTTCTCTATCAATAAGATCTTCGTCAATATTTTCTCCATTATACCTGAATAAATTAAACGTTTTAATAAGCACTGATATACTAGAATATTGCACATTTTAACATATGTATGTTCCAAAAGTGCGTTATTCAATCCAAGGATCTTAAACTTAAAATGGAAATCCACAAAGCTGTTTTACCATAAAAGCTGTTTTACCATAAAATGTATAAAATTTGTTACTTCATTCAAATTATCAGATGTAAAATAAAGTTTAAACAATCTCACGTGGATAAACAACGCATAAATCTTTTGGTCACTCAAGTATGACCAATTATATCTATAACATTACCTATTAATAATAAATAAATCCATCAGAAAATACTGATCCAACAAATGTGTTACTTAAAATATAGAGATTTGCAACATTAATGTACTTTTAGCGTATATAGTTATGCATGAAACATTTTAGTAAAAAGCTATGTAGACCAAAATCATAACCTTACTTTTGGTTAAGATAATTGTCAATTTGTCAATATGTCAAAGCATTTGACATTTAACATTTACACAAACGTCCCTACATTTCACATAGTGATGTGTAAAATGAATGAATGAGTGAATGAATCCATTAGAATTTCAATTTATACTTTCATCGAAGTTGGAATCGATACATTTATAATTCATAGTTATATCTTATGGATCAAAATTAAAATCCCTGTTTTTGCATTCGGTTATGTAAACTTAAATCATTAATGAGAAATAAAGAATACTAGCTGTTGCTCGCGACGTGGCCCGCGTGATAAATTACCTTTCTGGCGATGAAACAGTTTTTAAAATCGACCCAGTAGTTTTCGAGTTATATCAATAGAAACGAAAATATAAAATTACAAATCTTTCCTCTTTATAACCACAAATGACTTTCTTTAAAATATATACATACGACCATATTACCAATTACTTGTAAATTACGTTAAAACACACAAATTCGTTATATCATTGTAATCGCTATCGCTATATACACGACTAGAACCCTCCCTTAATTTAATTAATTGGTAAATAACAATATTAGTTCAATTTTTTTTATGTTTGGACTCCGATTATCGATAGTTCACAGTCGTTCAATAGACGCGTTTGTTTAATTTCTTCAGCTAAGCGAATAAGCGAACTGTGAGTTGATCTGCAATTCATCAGTTTTAGTTGAGTTACCATGGCGATCCAATCATTCAGACCGAGGTTTTCATTATTCGCCAATAGATAGCAGTACGTGGAATTGCATCACAATGTTAACTTACTGCTAGTATGTTAGTATTACTTAGGACATATTAATAATAAGGTCATATATAGACGAGCGGTCATATAACAGTTGAACAAACACAACAAGGCAACATGTAAAAAATTTTTGTAATGAGAATTCAGTGCTGCACATTATTGTAGTCTTGAATTCTTGAACTCTGCATCCGGCGATAAAAAAATTACAGGTATGTCTTAACCAAAGGTATTTAAGAATATACAGTCGAGACATTGTGTAAAATGTACTTTGTAGCTAATTTGAATTTATGTGACTTAAGAAATCCGTTGTAATTTTGATGAACATGATGTTCGTTTGAACGCGAGGCAATTCAATTAGGTACAGAACGGTAGTTATGGGCGTCTTTTTAATATAAGTTGTCTCTAATCAGCGCTTAATAAATTAATTTAAAACCAAAAAACGTGAAGATGGAGCACCGTTTAAATATTATCCACGTTAATAGCCAGAGATAAGATAAATAAACTATAATGAGCGCGTATTTAATTAATTAATTTAAAAACAAACAAAGTGAAAATGGACAACAGATTTATATAAAAAAAATGTATAATGTGGCAATTAATGTAATAATATTTTTCAGCGTTAGAGCCATCTATGGACAAAACTAACAACAGATAGAGTTTGAAATTACGTAACTAAACATATTATTCATGCGTCCCCTTGAGAATAGGGAATTTCTTGAGTTAACTAATGGTATAACATTTTCGTTACAACAGACACAAGATGATTCACATTTTCAACTGTAATTACTGGACCCCCTACTTCTTTTCCGCGATAAAAATATCTCCCACTTTGAAGAAAACCTCTCTGATACTACTTTATAATAAACAAGGATTTTGGTTTTTACCCTACTCTTTCACTTGCGTAATACAGAAATTACTGTGTGTACTCAGAAATATAACAAGATACTGGCTGTCTGATGATTTTATACCGCATCTTTTCGTTTAAACCACGGGGCGTACCATATAGTTTGAACTGTGCGTCGATTGTAAACAACAATCATTAAGATTTCTATGATTCTCTAGTTAAGCACTGATTTTCTAGTTACATTGTAAGGTACAAGTACTTCCATTACAATTTGTGTTTTCGTTTTCTCAACGGAAGAATTTCCCTTTAATGTGGGCACATTACCGTGCTGGTAACCCTAAATACTCAGAGGCGCCATCCTATCAATGTCAAAACGGTGCCACAATAACCTTGCGGCACTACAAGGATCTTTAAGATCCGATCTTATGACATTCAATGTCAAGACATTGACAAGAGGGTGCCTGCTAGTTTTTAGAGTTACCAGACAGTAAAGTATTCCTAGCTTCTTTCGAAGGTCCCCCAGTTTTCAAGCAATATCAATATATGAATATATGATTACTATTTATTGATCTACATTTAGGATTATTCAGGTAAAGACGATAAAAACTTATACTTTTTGGTATATAATTAACAATAACGAGAAATTGCAACCTCCGTGAAGTTAGCCACCTCACTTTCTCTTTGTTTACTTTTTTTTATGCAAATCGTTTGAGAATCGTTACAGAGGGTTTGAGAGAAAGCTACTTTCGTTTGAGAGTTCCTATTTTGTCCGTAAAAGCAATTTCAATTTTTAGCGTGAAGTTGGCCCTCACACATCATTTTTTTAATCTTCTTTATGCAAATCGCTAGAGAATCGTTAGAAAGAAATTGAGAGGTAAGAAATATCGTTTGAGAGTTCTTACTTTTTTTGTAAAAAATATTAGAAATTTTGAAATCGATAACATTCGAATCGATTTTACTTTTCTCCGAATTAAAAATGAAAGCCATAGAAGAATCGAATTTTTCTCGTCGTTAGAGAATCGTCTGAGAATGATTGAGAGAAGAATAGAATCGTTTGAGAGTTCTTAGTTTTTCTGTTAAAATTTTTTGATTTTTAAGTCAATAACGATCGAATCGATTTTACTCTAATTCGAATTAAAAATGAATGTAATGAACTTAGAAAGATCAATTTTTTCTTGTCGTTAGAGAACCGTCTGAGAATGATTGAGAGAAGAAAAAAATCGTTTGAGAGTTCCTACTTTTTCTGAAAAAAAATTTTCGAATTTTCAAGTCGATAACATTCGAATCGATTTTAATTTTGTTCGAATTAAAAATGAAGATGATGGACTTAGAATGATCAAAATTTCCTCTTCGTTAGAGATTCGTCTCAGAATGATTGAGAGAAGAAAAGAATCGTTTGAAAGTTCTTAGTTTATTTGTAAAAAAAAAAAATTAAGTTTCGAAGTCGTTACTAGTCGAATCGATTTTACTTTTCTTCGAATTAAACATGAAAGTAATGGACCTACAAGTATCAAATTTTTCTCGTCATTAGAGAATCGTCTCAGAATGATTAAGAGAAGAAAAGAATCGTTTGAAAGTTCTTAGTTTATTTGTACAAAACAATTAAGTTTCGAAGTCGTTACTAGTTGAATCAATTTTAGTTTTCTTCGAATTAAAAATGAAAGTAATAGACCTAAAAGTATCAAATTTTTCTCGTCGTTAGAGAATCGTCTCAGAATGATTGAGAGAAGAAAAGAATCGTTTGAGAGTTCTTAGCTTTTTGGTAAAAAAAAATTAAGTTTTTAAGTCATTAACGATCGAATCGATTTTACTTTTCTTAGAATTATAAATGAAGACAATGGACTCAGAAGAATCAAATTTTTCTCGTCGTTAGAGAATCGTCTCAGAATGAATGAGAGAAGAAAAAATATTTTAAGAGTTTATCGACGAATCAAAAATGAAAGTGACATAGTATGACATCTACTTTTTGAGTTATGGGCTAAGACGATTCAATTTTTTTTCCAGAAAAACTAAGAACTCTCAAACGATTCTTTTCTTCTCTCAATCATTCTGAGACGATTCTCTACCGATGAAAAATATTGATCCTTCTAAGTCAATGACTTTCATTTTTAATTCGGAGAAAAGTAAAATCGATTCGAATGTTAACGATTTCAAAACGATTTTTTTTTCTCTCAATTTCTTTCTAACGATTCTCTAGCGATTTGTATAAAGAAGATTAAAAAAATGATGTGTGAGGGCCAACTTCACGCTAAAAATTGACATTGCTTTTACGGAGAAAGTAGGAACTCTCAAACGAAAATAGCTTTCTCTCAAACCCTCTCTAACGATTCTCAAACGATTTGCATAAGAAAAAGTAAATAAAAGAAAGTGAGGGGGTTAACTTCACGAAGGTGAAATTGCAGTAAGTTAGCATCATAAGGCTTATGCCATAATGTCAGCAAACAAATGATGCAATGATGTTAGATCAACGGCGGGAGGCCGATCGCTATCTCCGGAACGGCTCGACGATTTTGACGGGACTTTTACTTTACACGCGGGAATGTAATAGATGATATTCTTTTTTGACTCCGCCTTGCCAAAATTTCTAGGTGACGGCTTGTTATGCCATAAAAAAATGATGAATTGATTAGTATGTTGTTGATTTTCATCATAGCCAGATCACTATACGTCCCCACTGAGGGGCTCGGAGCCTAGTAAAGCCCTAATAAAGGGTGACTAGGCCATAGAAAAACAGGCTCGCCCAGTGTCGGTTGGTTATCTGCACTCATACACGTTCACGATGATTTCCTTTACCTTGAGAACGTCGGGTATATTATGTACCTATGAAATTCAAAAAATCCAAAATCATATTGGTACATGGCTTAGAAGTCAATTATTATTGTTCTAACCCATGAGCCACCGACGTTCTCGTTTTTTTTCGTTTAGCATATTTGGTTGACACTTGAAATGATATGGTCCTGCAAGGATGTGGCACCTTTTTGATATTAATAGGAGGGCGCCTCGGAGTATTTAGGGTTACCAACAAGGTAATGTTTCTACATTTAAGGAAAATCCTTCCGGTTAGAAAACAAAAACGCAAATTGTAAAGGAAGTACTTGTACCTTACAATGTAACTAGAAAATCAGTGCTTATCTAGAGAATAATAGAAATCTTAAGAATTGTTGTGTGCAATCGACGCACAATTCAAACTATGTGGTACGCCCCGTGGTTTGAACGAAACGATGCGGTATAAAATCATCAGACAGCCAGTATCTTTCTGAGTACACACAGTAATTTCCTTATTACGTAAGTAAAAGAGTATGGTAAAATTAAAAATCCTTGTTTATTTTTTGAAATTACAAAACAAAACATATTATACATACGTCCCCTTGGGAATAGGGAATTTGTTGAGTTAACGAATGGTATCACATTTTCGTTACAGCAGACACAAGATGATTCATATTTTCAATTGTAATTACTGGACCCCCTACATCTTTTCCGCAATTATAATACCTCCCACATTCGAAAACACCACTCTGATACTACTTTTAAACACTGTCGTCACTTTTTCCATGGAATAATATTAAAAAACCACACAAAATGCGTAATATAAAGACGCGAACTGACAAGCTAAGTCACAATTACCCTGACATTAAATGTATTTTTTTATTTCATAACATTGTCGGCTGCCAACAGAAACTTGTATATCTATATCCGTGCGGACGAGTGCAACAGATAGGTTAGAATAAATATTTTTAATCGAGATCCGTCCAGCCATTTAGGCTACAAAGTCTAACCATCCATCTATCCATTTAAACTTTCGCATTTACATTAGTAAGATTATATTTCGATCCGATTCACCATCGGCTCGCTTGCCTTTAATCGATACAAAGTCGTATGGTTCTTATTATCATTCGTTACACCAAAGTTCCGGTTCGGAACGCATCCCATCCCTAATTTGCATCAGTCAGATTTGATAGCAATTAATTAATTTTTGATCATTTCAGTGGCTTCCAAGTTGGATTTCAGAATTTATTCAAATGTTTCTTGCTTCCTCATTTTGTGTTTAAATTAAAAAAAAAAACGCTTAAAATACAGTTATTAAGTTGAAATACTAAAAACTTGTAGGCTAAATCCAGTCAAAATGGCCAGTGTATCCTATCAAATAGCACATCTTCTCGAGAAGGTAAACCGGCGCATTTCGTTTGTTATAATTTCTACGATAAATCAAGTATTACATTCCAAAGCGTGAAACTACATTCTAAAATATTACATTAAATACCTAATGTATTTATTTCAGATGACATCTAATGACAAAGACTTTAGATTTATGGCCACAAATGATTTGATGACCGAACTACAAAAAGATAGTATAAAACTTGATGATGACTCGGAAAGAAAAGTTGTTAAAATGCTTTTACGTTTACTAGAGGACAAGAACGGCGAAGTCCAAAATTTAGCTGTGAAATGGTGAGTACAAAACTTTTTTGGAATAATTTGTTAAAGTTATCAATAATAATATGGTAGTTAAAGTTAATATTGTTATTTTCAGTCTTGGTCCTCTTGTAAATAAGGTGAAGGAGTTTCAGGTTGAAGGCATTGTTGAGACCCTTTGTGCAAACATGCTCTCTGATACTGAACAATTAAGAGATATAAGTAGTATTGGCCTAAAAACTGTGATATCTGAACTTCCACTTGGTTCAAATACATTGGCTGCCAATGTGTGTAAGAAAATAACTGGAAAGCTGAGTAGTGCTATTGAAAAGGTAGTTTGTTTGTATTTTTATTTCCCAGAATACAAAATCAATTATGAGAATAAAAACATTGTGTAAAGAATTGAGTGTAATTTTAATGTAAACATGTAGAAACTATCAAATTTGCAACAAAACATTTGCATTTTGTTATAACATTTGGAACATTCAGAAATTCTAAGGACAGTAAACTTGTGACATAATTATACTTACATGATCTTGTTATGGAAAGGTAAGATTGAATTTGAATTAAGTTTCGTGTGAATTTTATTTAACATAATGATTTATATTATTAGCAAGAAGATGTGTCAGTTCAGTTGGAGGCACTCGACATCCTGGCAGATTTACTAAGTAGGTTTGGAGGCCTGCTTATATCATTTCATCCATTGTTATTGAATTCCTTGCTGCCTCAACTTTCTTCTCCTCGTCAGGTAATATGACTTCTTTTTAAATATTGTAGACATGTTTATGAAATTAATACAGCAAATAAACTTAATATGGATAAGTATATATCAAGTAAAGATTTTGCGCTTGCAATATTTATATCTAACTATTTTTAAATAAACTTAAATTGTATACAGGCTGTTCGTAAACGCACAATAGTGGCGCTATCACATCTGGTGATGTCTTGCAATGCATCACTGTACAGTAAACTCATTGACCACCTGCTGGAGGGGCTGAGTTCATCCACATCTGCCAGTGTCAGTCGTACACATATCCAGTGTATTGCGTCTGTATGGTAAGAGATTTACATTTATATTAGTTAAAACTAACCTTGAAATCTATATCTATACAAGTAACATGATGTATTTCCGTTGTGGATAGTTAACAATGATAAAAATGTTTGTCCATATGTTTGCAAGGCTAAGTTTATTGTGGGTAAATCCAAAATGGCTTTACCAATTTGTTTTAATTAACGCTGACGAAATCGCGTTAGAACGCTATTTAGTAATACTTTTTTTTTACTTATTATATATTTAAAATAAAGTTATATATTTTTAATTAATTGATGATTGATAAAGGATTTATGCGATTTTTTAACTGACAATATTGTTTGTTATGTAGTCGACAAGCCGGTCATAGATTTGGTGAGCAACTGTGGCGCGTTGCCCCGCCAGTTCTAGAACATTCTACCGACGCCGATGAGGAGTTGCGTGAGCACTGTCTGCAGGCACTTGAAGCTTTTGTGCTTAAATGCCCTAAGGAAGTGCAACCTCACATTCCAACAGTAAGTACTCCATAATTTAATTATCAAATAATAAATCTTTATTTACTCAAGATAAATGGTATTAAAACTATGATTTGCTGCAAAAATGTGATTACTAAAATCAGTAGATGTTGAAAATTCATATACTGATGTAAAAAGGAAAGATTTGTATTTTTGTATGTAACATAATATCTCAAAAAATAATTTAGAAATAATCTTACACCATTAAAAAGCTATTTTTCAGAGAGTAACAGGTTATTTTTTTTATATTTCACATGGACGGAGGCGCGAGCAACAGCTTGTATTATATTTGTTATTACAGATAATAGAGTTATGTTTGAAGATGATAACTTATGATCCTAACTACAACTATGAAGACGAGGAAGAAGGTGGTGGAGGTGAAGATGAAGAGATGGAAGATGAATCAGTGGAGCCCGATGCGGATGCAGAATCTGATTCCGAAGAGTACTCTGACGATGATGATATGTCTTGGAAAGTGAGTTAATTGTTAAAAAAAGGGTTAAAAATATATAGAGGAAGCAAGAAATAAGTGTCATTTAAGACAGTTTTCACATGATTCTCATATCTATTTATAAGTCATCAAACCACATATCAATATTATAACTAAGGTCTTTCAAAGAAGTTACCGGTGAAAAAATGTTGTCCACTATATCTAGTTTACATATCTTTTAAATGCCTTTGGTTAAATATAAAATTTGAGGTTATGTTGATTATCTTTGAGTTACCAACTAAAATGGCCGTGAGTCTTTTTTCAACTTTTTTCATGTAATTGAATTTTCATATTTCAATACACAGGTTCGCCGCGCCGCAGCCAAATGCCTTGAATCAGTGATAGCGACTCGACACGAGCTGTTAGCGGAAATGTATCAGACGGTGTCTCCTGCATTGATTGCAAGATTTAAAGGTATGAATATTTTGATATGAAAGTCAGCCCAAATAGTTATTTTTACGCTTTATATATTCCATTTAAAAAATTTATTTGTAACCCATGTCATTGTTTCTGAGCTATGTCAAAGTGTACAGTTATCAGGCTAAAGGTCAAACAGTCTTGAGATTATATCTGTACTAATATTATAAGGAAGAAAAATTTGTATTTTTGTATGTATTGAAATAACTTAAAATCTACTGGCATGATTTCAAAAATTCTTTCACCATTAAAAACTACATTATCAGTGAATAATATATGCTGTTTGTTATTGTTTTTTTTTTAATTTCAAGCGGACGAAGTCGCGAGCAACTTCATATCTATACTTATACAATAAAATGTAAACACACTTAGCAGGTAGTTGCTATCAGAGTATATTTTTTAATAATACTTTTTTTTAACAAGAAGCCCTGCTACATGATATGATATATTTTCACGCTATTTAATTTAGGGGTGAAAAAAATTCCATCGACACAAACTGCAAGCCAATAACAGTAAAGAAGCAAGATTGATATTGTAATGGTAATTGGTAGCCAATAGCAAAAACCAATATTGTCTTTAAAACATTTGCAATTAAATGTAAACAATAAAATAAAAATGTGTAGCGGATGAAGCTACATGGGTACAGTTATTGTATCATAATTTGGTTATTGTTTGTTAACAGAACGCGAAGAAAATGTGAAATGTGATATTTTGAGCGCTTACACAGCGCTATTAAGAGCGACGCGGCCGCCGCCCGCGCTGCAGATGCCCATCGTGCCTTCTGATGACTCTCCACAGGCTTTACTTCTACAGAGGGTGAGCTGATTCTAGTTAATTTCTGATAAATTGTAAAACTGAAATATATGTTTTTTTTAATACTTTATGTATTTAAAATATTGGAATAATTTATATTCATAAACCAGTGTTTTCAATACAGCGTACATAAGTTAGTTTTTTATGTTCAAACTTAGAGTGTATAAAAACGAGTGTATTAGGTCCTCCAAGATTGTCAAAGCAACTGTAGTTCCTCTAATATAGCAGATGTTAATAAGCGTTCTTGAATACCTTGTTGTAACCGCGGCTCGTTTGCCTATATAATTATTTATACTAATATAGTAAAGCGTAAACACACACTACTTAGTTATGTAGTATGTATTACAATTTGAAGAATTCTCTTATTAATAAAAAGCCCGTCTCTTACCACACACTTTAAGCTATATGTTTTCACCCTATTAAACATATGGAGTAAATAATTTAGTAAAAACTGTCATGCGGGAAAGGGACAAAAACTACAAGCTAACAACATGAGGGAGACAAGATTGGCATGGTAACATTAATTGTTATCCAATGTCAAAGGCCTTCGTTGTCATTTGTGAATTTTGACATTTCATAAATGTAAACAATGCAAGTGAAGCCGCACGGAACCAGCTAGTGAAATAATAAAAAAAGTATTTTATTCCTTATATTTGTCAAATTCTCAATTGCAAATGCCAAAATAACTGTTGCCATAATAACCTTGCTTCCTTAATGTTGGTAGCTTATAGTTTATGGTCCCTTTCCCATGAAGGATTTTTCCAATGTATTTACCGCTCTAAGATTAATAGCGTGAAAATATATAGCCTAAAGCGTGACGTAAGTGTAGCGATTTGTATTAAAGAATCAATTATTCTAAAACATGCTGTGATTGCTGACATCTTATGCCACGAATTGTGAAAGAACAAAGAAGTGTGTGTTTACGCTTTATTACATTAGTATAGATGTGGATAATTGTACGGGAACAGCTCGTAAGATAATGAATGGCGGTTACCACATATGATTAGTTTAGAAGGATGTTTACTATTGGTTGTGCAGGTGGGCGGCGTGGTGCGCGGCGCGCTGCGTGTGATCCGCGGACGCAGCGCGCGCGCGCGGGGCTGCGCGCTGGCGCTGCTACGCGAGCTGCTGGCGGCCGCGCCCGGCTGCCTCGCCGACCACGTCGCGCGAGTCGTGCGCGCGCTTACCCCCGCACTCACGTACGTCACACCACATACATACATACATACATACATACATACATACATACATACATACAACAAACTTCTTCATTTTTATTAGTACATATCCCCAAGACATCGTAACGGATCTAACAAAACACTAACATTTTTTTTTAAATTCCGCGTCGATGAATTCAGAGGCGAAAACTAGTACATTTATATGCCTTAGCATATTTATAAAACTAAATTGTATTACTTTAAATGTTTCTGAGGCGGTTGCTTCAATACTGACATGAATAGAGGCTTATATGAATATATGTGTACATGTGATAAGTATCAAGAGGTCACAATAGCCAAATAGTGACTTGGGGTTAGACTTCAAGGACAATATATGTTGTGTGTTCAGTGACAAGGGCACGGCTTCGTCGATGAAGATAGAGACGCTGGTGTTCGTGGTGTGCCTGGTGCGCGGACACGCGCCCGACACCATGCGGCCGCACGTCGCCGCGCTGCTGCCCGCTGTGCTGGCCAGCGTGCAGGACCCCTTCTACAAGGTCACCGCGGAGGCGCTGCGGGTACTGCAGACGCTGGTCAAAGTCATGCGACCACTCGGTTAGTGCGAGACATGGTCACTATAAATGTATTTGGTTTTAAATGAAATATTTAACAACGGAATTAAAAAAATAAGTACATGAAAAAGAATTAAACGCTAATGTTATAATGAGTAAAAAATTGCCACTTTATTGTGTAATATCAGTCAGTTAACGTGTTTTTCCCGACGGATTATACTAATATTATAAATGTAAAAGTTTAAATGGATGGATGGATGATTGTTAAAGTTTGTAGTCTAAACGGCTGAACCGAATTTGATGACCAATTTCATATTGATGTAGATAGTCTGGAAAAACACAGGCTACTCATTTTTGTTTTAAATTTCACGCGGACGGAGTCGCGGGCGAAAGCTAGTGTTAAGTAGTATCGACATTGTGTTTTAGAAAAGATGGAGCTGGTCGGCGAGGAGGGGTCGGAGGCGTCGGAGTGCGGGGAGCTGCGCCAGTTCGTGCCGGCGATGTTCGAGTGCACCCTGGTGCGCCTGCGCGCCGCGGACATGGACCAGGAGGTGAAGGAGCGCGCCATCGCCGCCTGCGGACAGCTGCTCTGCCACTTCGGGGATTATCTGCAGGTACACGAATACACATCAGCGTGTTTTTGTCAATAATACAAGCTATTTTTTATCCCATGCTTTGGCAATTGAAATATTAAAACTATCCAAATCTGTTGACAATAAATATCTAAATGGAATTAATAGAAATGTAATCTTTCTTTTCTATTTATTTCGACCTAAATGTGTATCTATACTAATATTATAACGAGGAAAGATTTGTATTTCCGTATGTATTCGAATAACTCAAAAATTACTGAACAGTTTTCAAAAAGTCTTCCATCATTATAACTATAACTAAAACCACTGACTTGGTATTTTATTTTATTAACTCCACGCGAACGAAGTCGCGAGCAACACGTAGTTCAATTTTAAAGCAGATAACCAATATGGTGTTATCAATAAACGCTAATTTTGAGCGTTACTGTGATTCTAATAACGATATTTAGTGATTGATAATCTTTATTAAAACATATTTAAATGAATTTGTTTTTGTTTTAGAATGAACTTCCCGTATGTCTACCGATACTGCTGGAGCGCTTGCGCAACGAGATTACTCGACTCACAACTGTCAAAGCACTCACAAAAGTCGCCGCATCCCCGCTACGTATCGACTTGAGACCTATATTGGTAAGGATTTAAATTATATAAAAATATTTCATATTAACGTAAACCATGTTTTTATCAAGGTTATTTTAGCTATTCTTTGTATCTGAATGTAATTTCCCATATTCTTCTATTTATATATTGTTTTCAGTCCGATGCAGTACCAATCTTGGGATCGTTTCTAAGAAAAAATCAGAGAGCTTTGAAATTATCGACGTTAGTGTTGCTAGACACACTTGTGCAGAATTACAGTAATGATATCAGTATTGAATTACTGAGTAAGGTATGTGTTTTACTGTTATCTTCATAGGTTCTAAATGCTTTCTAAACACTGATTTTGTATAGACCCAAAAGGATATCTGACATGATGTTAAACAAAATTGTGATTGCTCACTTGTCTTTACGTAGTGTAGCTGTCATATTATCTTTTCTTTTTTTCTATGTTTTTGCATATTCTCTGACAGCAGTATCTCTTATAGCTGTTGCTCGTGACTTCGACCATATATATATATATATATA